GCGGCGATGCCGGATTTTATTCTTGCATCTGCAGAGCGCGCCGCAAGAGAGCGCCGGGGTGAACGTCGCGACGGCTGCCACTTGTTAACGTGCGGAGCGCAGGCAAAGAGGAATCCGTCACTTTTTTTTATTATCCGATCCCAGAAGGGCGATTATTCGCAGTGGTCGCGTCATCCACTCGTGACCACTCTTGTCCCTTTGTTCTCGCGCTGTACGAGCGTGCGGTGCTTGTAAAGCACCAAGACTCGCGTCGTTTTAAATTCCCTTCCTCTCGGCAGAGTGCGGTGCACCTAGCCCAGGTGCGTTCATCTGAACCCCTCTCTCATTCCGGTGTATTTACATTCACAGTGCCTCGTACCATTTTCCTGCGTTACCGTCAACCAATATTCGTACGCTTTCCGTTGTCACCCAAAACGCTCTTCAGCGCGAAGACAAGGATCGCAGAGGTGAGATTTTGGGCGTCGGGTGAGGGATAATTGCCGATCACCTCCTCTCCACGGTGGTCATGCCCTGCCGCCACCATCCTTAACCACCTCCTCACTGGGGGGGGGGGGGGGGCGCTATGGAGGATCCAACCTTGATGTCGTGCTTGAGCCGGTTGCCAAGACGACCTGCGGACGATGATGGTCTTGTGAGCGGCGTGCGGGCCGCGGTCTTTCATCGTTTGGGTTCTGTTGTGCGGCGCACTTTTTTTTTTTTGCCGAGCGAACCGTACTGATTGTGCGTACGCACATGTTGGCACAGATCTGGCAGTGCGGTGGCTCACTGGAGATCGTCACGTGCTCGCACGTGGGACACGTGTTCCGCAAGGCCACGCCGTACACCTTCCCTGGCGGCACCGGCCAGGTGATCAACAAGAACAACCGGCGCCTGGCCGAGGTGTGGATGGACGAGTTCAAGGACTTCTTCTACGTCATCTCCCCTGGTGAGGAGCCACAGCCACTACCCCCCCCCCCCCTCGGCTGATGAGAATGACAGCAGTCGACATTATATAGTTGTGCTCATTGTACACAAAGTGCTTGCCACAAATGAACCACAATACCTTGCTAATTTTGTCAAGGAGCATAAACCATCACGAGAGCTCCGGTCATCCTCGCAGCATCGGCTTTTAGCTCGCCATCAAACAAATACGGTGGTCACCGCGTCGCGCACTTTCGGATGCGCTTCTGCGGCCGTCTGGATGCTCTTCCATCTGATATTAGGAAGCCACTGGAGCTATGTACTTTTAAATCATCTAGATTGAAATCTCATTTCGTGAGAACTGCTTTTTGTGTTTAGTTGTCCTTCCCCCGCATTTACAATGAGCACGGTTGGCTACGTACGGTGCGAAAGAAGTTCAACATGCGTAAATGCATTCATCCTGGGTATCCTCATCGCCACCACCATCGCCATCATCAACAGTGATCAATCCACTGCTGGATGGAGGCTTAACGAATCCGTCGCCGTCTCTCGCGGTTCCTGCGGTGCAACAATCCACCCAGCTCAGCTCCTGAACACAACGGCGACTTCTCCGAATTTACGGTGGACGGCCTCTTGGGCGCTTTCCCCCCTTTGACTGCCGATCCGTCGCTCGACCGCCGGCCACCGTCCCTGCCCAGGCCCCGTTCGCGTTTCTTGACAGTCAGCAGGGTGCCATTCAACCTGCTCATGCCAGGCTAACCCGACAGTTATCCAGGAAGCCTCGCCGAGCCTCGCTCCCGTTTCAGCAGAGTTCTGCGGCCGGAGAAAAGCCTCGCGGACACAATGGGGATAAATGCTTAAAAATTCCATACAGATGGGTTCCTCAGCCCACTTGACGGCCACCTGGCAAGCCAGCATGTTTGTGAGTTGCACAAATCTACTTCAATCCATCCTCCAGTCCTTGTCTTCGGAGCGTGGCATCGCAGGCGTTATCCACATGACTTGCACACAATAGACAAATATCTCCATTATAGCCTTCAAAGAATTGACAAATGGAGTTAGTGAGCACCTATGAAGGCACATCACACCAGGTACTCATTTGAGGCTGAGTCGACGTAGGGGAGGCCAATGACCGGTTCAGATAATCATCACAGGTATTGGCCGTGGGCGGGAATCGAAACATGGGTCGCCGCGTTCGTAGCACGGCGCGCTGACCGCGACACCACCGCTCCCCACTCACAGACACACACAGACACACAGAGACACACACCGAGCTCACAACACTGAACGTCATCCAGGTCACGCTGCTCCCTGGCTCGTGGAATCCTCCCGAGATGAGCACCGCGTCGCGCACGCCGCGTAGGGGGGGGGCACGGGAAGGAACGCGCCGAGACTCGACGCCTCTGCCCGCGATGCACGACCGGCGCGTCACGCGCCCGCGCCGCGTACGCAGCAACTCCAGTGGCGTCGCGCGGCCTGGGGGGCAGTGGCGTGGGGTGATGGCGGGGCAAGTGGGTGGGTGGGGGGGGTGGTCCCTCGCCCCCCCTCTTCATCATCCGCCGCCTGAGTCTCCCCCGGGCTGTGGACCTCGGGCGCGCCGGCCGCGCGCTCCGTTATCTACGCCGCCGTGCGTCGTCTCGCCCCCAGGTGTGACCAAGGTGGAGTACGGCGACGTGTCGCAGCGCAAGCAGCTGCGCGAGCGGCTGCAGTGCCAGCCCTTCTCCTGGTACCTGGAGAACATCTACCCCGACTCGCAGATCCCGCGCCACTACTACTCGCTCGGGGAGGTGCGTGCCGCTGTCGCCGTCGGTGTATGGCGGGCGCGAACCTTTGCCGCGGTTTTTGCACGACGCTATGTAGCGTCGTGCACTGGCAATCCTTTCCAGGTCAAAAACATCATGTGTTTGTTGTTGCCGTAATTGCAGTGTAAGTTGTAATATTATTATGGTCTGTCATTAAAATTTACGTAAAAGACAAATTAACAATGTTAATAAATGCATCAGAATCTTAATCTGGAGCCGTGAGGCACAGATGACGGAGCCGTGCTTAGAACAAGGAGAGGTTTGACGTGTCTGTGAAGCCCCCCTTGCCGTGGCGCGCATCACAAGTGGACCTTCAAGCTTAGGTTTCGTGCAGAAACGCTGCTCGCAGGCTCCGGCACAAAGCTCGGTCGACCCGCTCAGAGAAAATTCTGCCAATATTTTGCGCAAATGAAAAGAGGCCAACTCCTTGATTCAAAGCAGATGAGAGCCACTCGAGATTACAAATGTTCATTATACAGAAACGCACGCGTCGTGGATATGAACCGCAGCGAGCGATTGGCAGTAGCGCTATGTGAACGGCAGTGCACGATGCACGTGCTCATGGGAGCGTAGCGCGAGGCCCGGTGTCGGAGCTGCTATGCGCGTGATGTAGGACCACTGGCCTCCAAACCTCGCTTGCACGGAGGTCACCTTCACTTGGCCAGGTTTTTCCTGTCATCGCATCGTCTTGTGGAAGCACCTTGGAACACCAAAGCTCTTACCTCCCGTAACCTGACCACCCCTCTCCACTACCTCCTCCTCTTGATCCTCCCACCGTGACACCTCTGCACGATGCGCCACCGTGCCGCGGGAGTGGGCGGGCGCGGACCGCTGAGCGAGCACGCAGGGCTCTGGCACGGTTCTCGTCCGGCACGGCTCCTCCCAAGGGAGCGCGTGCTCGCCCCCCCCCCCATTAAGGGCCAGTTTGTGTCTTACGCTCCCCGCCCTCCCTCTCAGCACCCTCCCCTGCCCCCACGGCCCCTACCACCCTCGACGCTCGGATGCGCAAAGGACGTCTTCCAATCGTTCCGTGTCTGCCGGGGCCGCGGCGGTGGCGGCGGGGTGCACGGAAGCGTCGCCGGTTGGGGGGCGGCAGCGTTTGTGACGGGAGGGCGATGTTTTTGCGCGCGGCCGGGCGCAGCTGCGCGTCCGCTAATGAAGCCTTGACGTGTCCCGTCTGCGCGTCCCTCCATCGTGGTGGACGCTCGCCGTGCGGCAGACGGGACTAATGACAGATGTGACACACTTCACCAGGTGCACACGCACACACACACAGAGAGCCACAGCCCATACAATATTCATGAAGCCAAAATTGCACGCAGTTGCAGAGAGAGGCCGGCAGCCTGGTTTTAATCAGCTTCTTGAGCCGAGCAGGGAGGAAAATGAATTGGGTCTTCACGAGGGTTTTTTTCCAACATACACAAGAACATTTGTGAAATTTGCGTGGGAAAGCATTAATATTTCAAATGAATTCACCTTGGTAGACTGCATGGAGAGGGAGGTGGGGGGGTGGTGTGGATTAATAAAATTCGACGGAAAATTATTTTCAAATTTGCTGCATTATTTAAAGTCGGGATCGTACGACGGGCAACGTGACGCCGACGTTCGGTGCGCGTCCTGAATCAGGCCGTCGCGCGGAGTCGCCGCACAACGTCTCCAAAATGCAACCGGACGCACGAATAAATAAACGAGGGATCATTTATATGCAAACGCTCGCACGCGCAGGCGGGCACGCACATGCACGCCCCGCCCGCACGAGCGGACGCGTCGGTAAGTGCACATTCATAACGCAAACGCGCAAACAAATAGCACCGTAAATTATTTACAAATGAATAATTAAATGTGCACAGTTTATTTAAATTAAATTAATTGAACAAACAAAGTGGAGACATGCAGGGCTGTCCGCACGCTGACTCGGCACGGTGAGTGACGGCCTCCCACCGTATGTGCTGCCGTGCCTCCACCGTGCCCCCCACCGTACCCCCCACCGTGCCCACACCGTGCCCCCACCATGCCCACACGGTGCCCCCCCGCCGTGCCCCCCACCGTGCCCCCCACCGTGCCTTCACCGTGCCTTCACCGTGCCCCCCGCTGTGCCACACCGTGCCCCCCGCCGTGACGCCGGTGGGCCCGCAGAGCGGCGCAATCACGCGGGCGCGCCGCGTCTTAATCGCCTCCCTTGGATTCCCATCCAATTCGTTTGGTCGCTCTTCCTTCTCGCCCGTCCGCCGTGCAGATCCGCAACATGGAGACCAACCAGTGCTTGGACAACATGGGGCGGAAGGAGAACGAAAAGGTCGGCATCTTCAACTGCCACGGCATGGGAGGCAACCAGGTGCGGGTTGGCAAGAACTTGCCGGGGGCGGGGAGTTGGGGGAGGGGGGGGGGACGGCGGCCCCTAGCGCCGACTCCCGCGTGCCCCACGCTGCTTCGTCACCGCGCGCGGTCGCCTCGCGCCCACGCGTTGCGGGGGGGATCGGCGTTGCGGGGGGGATCGGCACACGGGGCGCATTTCTGTGCCTGCGGTCGGCTCGATGAGCCCGTCGGGTCCCAGGCAGGCGCTCCTCCCGGTGAGCCTCGCCGGGTGCTTTTTACAGAAGGCAACGTGTTTGTTGGCATCTTCGTCGGGTGTGCGGGCAGGCGGGCGAGCGCAAAACTGCGCTTTTCACGCTCGCCCACGCCGAGCGCTTGAGAGAGCAGCTGCGAGGCGGCGCCCTGTCCCCTGTCCCGTCTCAGCTGCGCGACTTCCGCTAAGCTCCTCCACCAAATGACATCACCTGCAAGCCGATGTGAATTAATCCCGGGCTAGAAAAATAAATAAAACGATACAGACGTTGGACGTGTCACGCGCGCTCCACGTGTCACGCGCGCCACCACACTGCAGCTAACGGTCCTCGCTGCTGCACGCACACGCACGCACACTGCTCCTAACAGACAGAGCAGGGTACGCATCACAGCTCATTCATTACATTGCAGCTGGAAGCGGCGGCCGTGTTGAGCTTATGAACCCTAATGAGTTGGAAACTGGTTTATTTTTGCAGCTGTTACGATTGTCTTTAAAAAATAAAAGCCACCAAAGCGGTGATCTGATAACATCGGCTTTGGGCAGCACTTGTGTTCGCAACTCCTAGCCAGTGGTGTAAATTCTAAATTCTATGGTAGAAACAAAACAAAAAACGACACCCGTGAACCCCACAGGTAACTTGAACTAAAGCAGCGTGCGTGTTGCCGAACGAGCGGGGATGGAGGGCCGAGTCAACCCCCGAGCGGGATCGCTGCCTTCTGATCGCGAGCCGTTCACAACAACCACTCGGCCCAAAGTTTGACTTTGTGCAGCGTTAAAAGAACGGCGTGAGTCTCGGGCGCGTGAGCCGGCGGTCGGCCTGTCGGGGCAGGGGCAGGGGGGGAGCTGCGGTGACGGTGCCCGTGTGTGTGTGTGTGTGCGCGTGTCTGGCGGCGGCGTTGCGGGCAGGTGTTCTCGTACACGGCGGAGCAGGAGCTGCGCTCGGACGACCTCTGCCTGGACGTGTCGCGGCTCAACGGGCCCGTCGTGATGCTCAAGTGCCACCACCTCAAGGGAAACCAGCTGTGGCACTACGACCGTGAGGTGCGCCCGCACGCACGCGCAGCAAGAGCAGCAGCCGCTTGCAACCAAGTGCTGGTGATGTCACCGCAGCGCTTGTGCCAGGCTAGGTGCACTTTGAGGCTATCACGTGCACTGTGGAAGGCTCGCTGGCAGGGGTTGAAGGGACACACCCTGATCGTTATAGGTCGACTAACTGAGGTGACTGACAGATGCATCACCGCCGCTCCCCGCTGTGCCAACAAGACAAACGGACTGTTGAGGCGAGTGCTGTTAGTGAGCACCTATGAAGGAAGGCATAGCACTCGAGGGGGTGGGTGGCCAACACCTTGCCTGGCCCCCTTCGTCTCTCCAATGCTGATGTTTGCACACGGCAATGGGTGCTCTTTTAAAGCCAAGTCGACCTAGAGAGCCCCAGAACCGGTTCAGTTGTTCGTCACCGATGTTGGCGGCGAGCGGGAATCAAACGCGGGTCGCTGGGTTCATAACCGGCGTGCTAACCACGACAATATCCACAGCACCATCACCCGCACGTGCGCACACATCTGTGCACAATATTGACAACAGCAATACAACTGGTTTTCTTGTTCACGATCCATCGCTATGCACTTTTAAATTGAGGTTCTCCAACTGCATCACTCGCACGTCATCAAACCATCGGTGCTCCATCAGTTTCCCGGAGAGTCAAAAGCCGCCCGGAGCGGCCGCCAAACACGTGTTGGGCTGCTGCCGCTGTTATTGACGATGTTAAAGCATTTACCCGCATTTATATACACGTGGTATGAGAGGCAGAGGTGGCCCGTGGGAGCAGTGATGTTTACGGTTTGAATTTTTATCCAGTTTGGATTTACACGGCGTCTAAAACGCAACCGCATTGCGAGATGCTGTGCACAAACAGTTGGCTTTTTTTTCTAGAGAGGACGGACCGCTGGGGGAAAGCAGCAGGGGATAACGAGCGACCTTCCGCTGAGCAAACGTTGTCCTGGGGACTTCCACAGAAAGCCTTGCACAGTGCGTGGAGGGGAGGAGATGGAGATGAGAGGGGAGAGCGTAGAGAGGAATAGAATGAGATGAGAGGCAGGAGAGTGCTTGGAGGGGAGTGGTGGGAGATGAGAAGAGAGAGGCAGGAGAGAGGAGTAGAGTGAGATGAGAGGGGAGAGGCAGGAGAGAGGACTAGAGTTAAATGAGAGGGGAGAGGCAGGAGAGAGCGTGGAGGGGACTGGTAGGAGATGAGAAGAGAGAGGCAGGAGAGAGGAGGAGAGTGAGATGAGAGGGGAGAGGCAGGAGAGAGCGTGGAGGGGAGTGGTGGGAGATGAGAGGGGAGAGGCAGGAGAGAGCGTAGAGAGGAGTAGAGTGAGATGATAGAGGCAGGAGAGAGCGTGGAGGGGAGTGGAGTGAGATGAGAGGGGAGAGGCAGGAGGGAGCGTGGAGGGGAGTGGTGGGAGATGAGAGGAGAGAGGCGGGAGGGAGCGTGGAGGGGAGTGGTGGGAGATGAGAGGGGAGAGGCAGGAGAGAGCGTGGAGGGGAGTGGTGGGAGATGAGAGGGGAGAGGCAGGAGGGAGCGTGGAGGGGAGTGGTGGGAGATGAGAGGAGAGAGGCAGGAGGGAGCGTGGAGGGGAGTGGTGGGAGATGAGAGGGGAGAGGCAGGAGGGAGCGTGGGGGGGAGTGGTGGGAGATGAGAGGAGAGAGGCAGGAGGGAGCGTGGAGGGGAGTGGAGTGAGATGAGAGGAGGGAGGCAGGAGGGAGCGTGGAGGGGAGTAGAGTGAGATGAGAGGAGAGAGGCAGGAGAGAGCGTGGAGGGGAGTGGTGGGAACAGGTCAGCAGTGTTTTGTGGAGCTGCTGCGCCCTCTGCTGGCGCCGAGCGCCGCTCGGCTCGTTGTCCTCGACCCGAGCTCGCAGCGATCGGCAGCCTCCTCTAGCGGCGCGCCCCGTGAGTGGCCGCGCGCTGCCGTTCGTGCACGAGGCCTTGTCGCTCCAGTCGGCGAGGAGTCGGTGCCCATTCTCCGGTCGACTTTCACGGCCGTTCAACGTTTAGAAGTCTCTCCGTCATTGCGCTCTGGTTCCAGTGATGCCACGTTCGTTAATACCCGCTCATTTCCTGCAAGCACACACATCCACGTTTGACAGACTGGATGACGCTACAGGCTATGGGCGTAGAGCGAGCGGTGGTTCTCAGAGCGTGGTTCCCCGGTGCCACCGGTGGATGGTCGGGACGGTCCCTCCAGGTGGTTTGCGGGGCTCTGATGCAAACGCAGGTCGATACGCAAACAACGGCAATGTTTGTGTACCCTTTATTTCAGACGTTACTTAATATTTTACTCGTGATATTTCATTTTTAAATGATGTGAGATCAACTACCCTGATTGAACTACCCTAAGATCTAAATGCCGCCCCAACCCCCACCCTAAAACAAAAAACCTATAGACGTATAGCTACAGTAACATGAATTATTTGTACGAGTGTGTAATCGTCGAGCGTTCCTGCTCTCTTTGCCGGACGCGCTGCGTGATGCCGTTGTTGTCGTCCTCCTCCTATGGGCCGGTGTGCGCAGCGCGTGACCCTGAGGCACGTGAACAGCAACCAGTGCTTGGACCGGGCGGGAGAGGAGGACAGCCAGGCGCCTACCGTCCGCGACTGCGCCGGCGTGCGCTCCCAGCAGTGGCTGCTGCGCAACGTCACGCACGAGGCGCTCGCCTGAGCCCTGCGCCCGCAAGGCCTCGCCGTCCCCGCGTACCTTCACCGCCCGCCTGCCCACCCGCTTTCTCTGCTCCCTCTCCTCTTTATTTTCCGTCCGCCTGCCTCGCCCTCGCCACCGGGATTCCCTGCTCTCCTAGGTCGCGAAGTCGCCGGTTTCTTTGGGCCGTTGATGCGGGCGGGCGGGCGGGCGGGCCGAGGAGTGGGAGCCGAGCTCTGCCCAGGGACACGAGCCGTGCCGACGGGTGCCTCCACTCGATTGCGGTGGCGGCGGTGGCGGCGGCGGCGACCCCCGAAGGGAGGTGGGCGGGCGACGTGGCGGGACTGAAGGCGGTGCGGGAGCCGCCCCACGTCAGGGGACACTTTGCGAGGCTCTGCAAGAAGAGGCTCGCACGCGGCCGCGTCCGAGCCTGCCTGGGTGTGTGCGACACCGAGCGGGAAAGGAAGGGTAAAAGCAGCAGCAGCAGCAGCAATCTTTCTGGATGTGACTGATTTAGAGATTTTATGACTCGTGAATCGCTGACGAAGATCAGAAGAGGAGGAGCGCCTGATGCTGCCTCTCGCTGCCAATGCAGAGAGTCGCTAAATGCTTATATTTTCTACAGGCGGACTGTGTGACTGATGCCCATCGGTCTTGGCTGACGATTGTTTGGTGTGTGTTTCTCCTGTTCGTAGGCGAGTGTCTTGGGCAGGGGGGTGGGGTGTTGTGTGATTGGGAAGTGGGGAACACGATTAATATACGTTTTTTTTTTTATGTAGAACTGATAACAGCTGGCTGGTAATCAAAAGGCGAAGTAGCATAGAATCACTTGCAGGAAGGTAATTTTTTACGAGACAAACAAAGTTAAAAGCAAGTTTCTCACACCAGTCCCCCGGTTAACGGCCACCGCACCCTGTCCAGAGCTGTGTCCTATCCTCCGTTCCTCGCCGGTTCATTGACTCTCGGCCATGTTTACATTAATTTCACCGAGCAATCAAAATGAGTGCGTTTTGTTTATTATTGCTTTTTTACTTTGTTTCATAATGGCTGCAGCTTTTCTGTCACGGTGATCAGCTTCGTTGTTATGGGCGGGGGGGGGGGCGGTGTTTGTCTCTCATGATTTTGTATGGTTATTTTTATCTGCCGGACAATGATGATGAAGGACGATGGCGAGATATCCATGGCACCCATGCGCCGCACGCGGACCTGATTGAGAGGACTGTGACGCTCGCCAGACACGGAGAGAGACAGAGAGACAGCGCGCTCGGCTAAAAGCACAATGGGAGCCTATTTTACTCTTCACAAGCCAAGCTGCACCGCTTACACAGCACCGCCGCCTAGCGGTTAACAACCCCCTGAACGCTAAATCAAAAAAACATCTGCCTTCTCTTTGTTTTGCCTTCGCCAGGCACGAGGGAATTTCACTTTTCTCAGTCCGTTAGTAAAAATGCCCGGGCGCTTGGCCACACACAGGAGATACGAGCGCCGCCTCGTCCGCCGTTGCCATGGCGACGACGATGTGAACGCCCCATCGCCACGTGGCGTTTTTATCACAACGGGGGGGGGGTGGAGGGGGGCAGAGGAAGGGGAACCAACCGCGTGGGGAGGGGGGTGCGGTGTTTTGAGTTTTGCGGATCCAGGCTCTCGTAAGCGGTGCGCCGCTCGCCACTTCCCCGTGAGAGGGGGGTTGTCATTGCGCGCCGACTCGACCGTAGTACCGTGACTGTTAAAGACTCTTGCCGCGTGCCGCTGTGTATTTTGTGTGCAGTATTAAAGGTGACAGTGTTTACAAACCCGCCGCCTTCTCCCCTACACCCCCCCCTCACCTACCCCGGGCCCCCCACGATCGCCACGCCGCAAGCCGCCGGGAGTGCAGAGTCCCCGCGCCCTGTCCGTGCCCCTGGGGTTTTACCACGTGCCACCCTCCGTGGCGACCGACCTGCGTTGCTCGGTACGTACGCGCGGAGCTCTTGTCAAGCCGCTGCCGGATGAGGGTCTCCACGCACCGGCGTGGGTTGTCGGAAGTCGTTTGCTAAAACTTTACCGCTCTCGCCAGCGCGCGATTGGCGAAGGATGGGCGTGGAGACATCGTAGAGTCGATGCAGTGCCCTCTGCTGCCCATAACACAGTCCCACACGACGCAGCGCCTGGACAGTGCATGGTGGCCATCAATCCGATGCTCCACCCAGATCTCCATTTCTTGCTCAGCTTCTGAGATCTGGTGGAGTTGGCAGGCACCTGTAAAGAAGAAACGCGTTTACTCTCGCTGGGCCTACCATCATCACCATGCACATGTTTAGTCCACTGCTGGATGATTGCCTCCCGAGTCGTCGCCGTATCCAGCGTTTCAACAATCGACCTTGCGCAGTGTTCTTCATTGCAAGGCCCGCGGGCCACTGGTGGCCACTCGTGGCCTTTAATTGTGGCCCCTGACGTGCGGCCCCCGACAATACGCAACGTGTGAAAATCTCGTGCTGCTGTCAAATCCCAATGGTTTCAAATGTGTGGCAGGCGGCCCTCACACTGATTATGTCTTATCGGCGAAAGTGTCCCCCCCATGACAATTAGTGAAGGGCACTGCCCTCGCGCCTGCACGTGACCTGCTTCCCCCTGCGATGGGCATCCCCTGGAGCGCGTTCCCTCCCTCGGCTCTCTCAACCTAGCCACGTGTCCTGCCCGAGCCCCCGTTAAAAGTAAACATTTTTTTAATTTTACCAGGTAAGGCTCACGGAGCTATGCAGCTCTTTTTTTCAGAAGCGATCTGGCCACAAATGATAGCTCAACGAAGTGGCTTATCTTGTGGAAATGTATAGCAGCCAAATACTCTAAACACGTGTTTATAAATGAGGCCCCAGAGAAAAATTCCAGGCGACCACGGGGAGGACATGCAAACTCCAAATATACAGCAGGCGTCAAGGTCAGGATAGAACCCAAGACCTCTATACCAGACGAGGTAGTTAGCATCTCGCAACGTCGAAACGACGTCCTTAACTTATGGGCGCTTTCCTAATGATAGAGGAAGTGATTGGGTTTTATTTTTTGTAAAGATTTCTCTGATCAAAATCTCTTGGAATGCGCCCGATATCACGCAAGGTTGAGCCTGGAAAGTACTCGGATGGGTGACAACCGTGCGAAAAACATCTGATGGAGGCCTCACTGGGGGGGGGGGGGGGGGGGGGGGCAAGGCTGTCAGCAGAGGGTCGGTGCAACAGAATCGTCAACTGTACGCTGCCGCGTCTATGCTCCCCCGTGCCCACCCACCCGCGTTGACCGGCACGACGCCCGTGGCCAGCTCGGCGTGGGGGGAAGAGGAGGCCCCTGATCCGGCAGTGGATGACACGAGGGGGCTCCTTTCGCCATCGTCACCCTTCCTTGCCACCCCCTCCCCTCCCCAGCGCTCAAACCCCATCCCTTTTCCCCGTCGGCCAAAAATACGAGTGTACCATTTATGATTCTTGTAAAGCGTTTTGACAAAGGAGCTTTATAAAATCCTCGCTAAGATAACATGTACACACCGCGCAGGAATGATCGCCCGGGTGCACCTATCGCAGAAGAGATGAACATCCCTGAGTGTGGTGGGGAGCGATCACTGCAGCAATGCGGTCTCCCCCCCCCATCGCCGCCTCCTCACCCCACAGCGCCATGCGGGCAGCACCAGGTTCATCACGTGACGTGTTGCTCGCCGAGCCGTCACCAACGTGCCGCCTAATGGGAGTTAATTGGATTTGTCTCCGCTCGTTTCCCCTCCACATTTAGAAACACGCGCTTAGATTATGTGGCTGTTGTAAATGTCCACGTGATAAGCCACTTCGTGGAGATATCATCTGTGGCGCTGTTGTTGGCTTTACCTGGGAGAGAGAGAAAAACAACATTGTTTAGAGACTGGCCCTCCTCTGCTTCCCCTTCTGCACAGCGCTGCACCCCACAGCCTTGCACGGGCGTCACGCCGCCACTGGTGGCCCAATCCACGTCTCAAGGTTTACTCCCAGAGAGAGGTGTGGCCAGGTTTCGTGTGGCGTGTGGCGTCAGCGTGAACCTGGCCTGGCACAAGAGCCGTGGTGACGTCGCGCAGACACTCGCTGAGGAGAGCGCGGTGGAGCAGTGGTTAGCGCTCAGAACCCGCTCGAGTCGAGTTCGATTCTCGCTCACGGCCAACACCGTTGACGATTATCTGAACTGTTCTTGGGACTCCCCTTGGTCGGCTCAAATGAATACCTGGTGTGTTGTGTAAACATCGCTACGAGTGAGACAAAGGCGGCCGGGCTTGGCGCTGGCCACCCACCCCCTTGCAGTGCCGTTCCGGCCCTCAGAGGTGCTCGCTCACAGCACTTGCCCCAACAGTTCGGACTATACAGGGGGACCATTGTCTTTGTTGTCTGTACTCATACCTGCATTCCGCGGTCATGGCAGACACATTGCCCTAAGGGGGTTGTGGTCGGGAGCTTGGTAAGCTGTGGTTAGAGTGTTGTGTTCGTGAGGTCACGCCGAATTGTGTATGTCGTGATTGGGGGGGTGGTGACGGTGGTGGTGGGGGGGGCTGTGAGGTGTGGGTTCCCCACGCAACCTTCGTGCCTTAAAAAAAAATCCTCTCCAAACCCTGGCGCGCTCTGACCCCCTCCCCCGCGTTCGAAGGGAGTGGGCGGGGGGGGGGCGGTGCACTTCGCGTGCCGCCGTCCCCGTGACGCGCGGCGCCTCCAGCGGGCCCGGCGGCGCTCGACGGCTGCTCCCAAGTCGCGGAGCCCGCTCATCTCGATCGCTCCCTAAAGCTTCTCCACTCGAAGCCATCAATTAACAATTGATTGGCTTCTGGGTTAGCCGAACGAATGAATCACAAGGTTGCGCTCATTACACACAAAGTGCCCGCAACGAATGAACCGCAATGACCTTGCCGATCTCGTCACGGAGCGTAAACCGAGACGCAAACTCATCCTCGCAGCGGCGGCTTTTGGTTAACCATCAGTTTCAGTTTCATCTATTAGGTATAGACCTGTGAGCCATTCGGCTCTTGAATCGGGTGCAACCGCAACAAACAAAAACATGAACAACAAACATCTTAAAGTGACTACTCGCAAACAGAAAAATCCAGGACAAAGACGGCGGGCACCGCATCGCGCGCTTTCAGGTGCGCTTCTGCGACCGTCTGGAACGTTCTTCCTTCCGATATTAGGAAGCCACTTGGAGCTCTGCACTTGACATCACCTAGATTGACAACGCAATCCCTTAGAACTGCTTTTTGTGTTTAGTTTGTTGTCCGTTCCCCGCCCTTCCGAATAGCACGGTTGGCTATGTACGGTGCGAAAGAAATGCAACATACTGCAGCAGCGGCACCGCTGCAAGCTACACCGCGGGTCCAATCCGCATGTTTGTCTGGCAAGGAACATGCGGACGTCTCGGTGGGGAGCAATGGAGAAAGTCTCCGGTGAGACGTGGACTGTGGCCGTACAGCTTTCTCGCGTGCAGTGCCGTCTCTGCGGCAGTGCTCTGTCGTGTTTTTCCTGCTGTGCGCGCCACGCTGCTGCGGCTGCTGCGGCTGCTGCGGCTGCTGCTGCTGCGTTACTTCTTCAGCCGGCATCTCGCACAAAATCCCCCTTCGCAAGCGAGCTGAACTCCCGCGAACCCGATCACTGAATTGTCACACTAAACGGTGATGCACAGACCCATTTACGGAGCTCATCAGTGGATGTATGCTCCCTGCCATTACATTTTCAAGTCCTATGGCCGCGAAGCCATTTGAGGACATTTATTTTATTTAGCGTGGTTTTTTTCTTCCTTTTCACCAGAACAGCGAACGTGACCGCTCTAAACTGTTGACGGAGTCAGTAATTGAGTGCTCTGCGACCAATGGGGCCCTACATCGATTTGCTTGTTTGGCCCGATATTGCCCAGTTTATTAAATACAACAGCAGCCGCGTTAAATGTACGCCAATGAGTGTTTGTGGTCGTCGTTGTTGTTGTTCTCCGGCCGTCGGAGCTGCTGCTGCTGCTGCCGCGCGCGGTGTGAGAACCGCTCGTCCGGCCTGGCCCGCACACTTCCGGGCGCCCAGAGGGCTTGCACAGTGGTCTGGCCGGGTGTTTTGGGCATCTGTGCGGACAAAAAACGCTTCGTAGCTTATCGGATTCCTCCGGTCGAAATGAGGATTCTGAATCGCACGAGAGGGCCGGCGAATTCACGGGTTTCGAGCTCAGTCGCCAAATGGCTGCTCAAACAGGAGCCCAAATTCAGCTCGTTCTGGCTTCTGAAAGTTTCCGGCGTGTTCGGTTCGATCGGCCACGTCGACGATCGGGGGGTGGGGGGGCACGTGAGAGGGGCCAACAACAACCACGGCGTGGTGGGTGAAGGGGCACTCGTGAAGGGGGACGTCTCGACGATGGAAAGAGTTGACAACAGAGAGTCCTCTTCCTGGGGCTGCTCTCCAGCTCGGTTTGAATGTCACGCAACTTGTAATATATTTGGCACTTCGATTTGCCATACGTCTAATTTCAAGCGCTGTTTTTCGTACCTAACGCTCCAGTTTCATGTCGTTGAAGTCATTTTAAATCGACCTTTGAGAGACCTGTTCAGTGAACCCAGAG